TGACTCATTGGAAAAGACCCTGATGCTGGGAGGGATTGGGGGCAGGAGGAGAAGGGGACGACAGAGGATGAGATGGCTGGATGGCATCACCGACTTGATGGACATGAGTTTGAGTGAACTCTGGGAGTTGGTGATAGACAGGGAGGCCTGGCGTGCTGCGATTCATGGGGTCACAGAGTCAGACACGACTGAGTGACTAAACTGAACTGAAAGCAGCCAAGCTGATGCCTCTCACGACGAGGTAGTCATCCTTGACTTGTCTGTTCTAGACTGAGAGATTCCTGAATACAGGACCCCACTGGGAGGCAGCCACCCCTGCAGTTGCATCAGCAGATACTTGTTGACTGACGCGTTGATACTGTAGAACTCTTAACGAGAGTGTGTGTCTTCTCTTTGGGTGGCCCTTGCTCCATTCAGCCACTTAAGGCTCAGTGAAATATTCTTGGGTGAGGTGGGTGGCATTTATGCTTCCCTTGCTCTGCATAACATTATCCCTGGGTCCTTGTTCTCATCTGCTTTGGCCACACTCGAATGCTTTGGACAGATTTAGAACAAATTGTACTTGGGTCCTCAGAGAGTCATTTTCTCACAGGTTGCGGTCCCACCATTCTGTGATCCTCTGTTTAGAAGACAGCAAGAGATAGATGAAGAGCAGAGAGCTATTTTTCAGTACACAACAGGTACTTTGTGATTACTTCATCTTTAGAGACTTCAATTCTCGAGTGATCTCCTACCCCAAGGGTGACTGGAGCTGACCTTAAGGGTGTTGATTTATATTTTTATCTTCCTGTAGGAAAACGATGTACCTTAAAAAAATTTAAAGAGCTACAGAAGGCCAGGCAGTATGCCAGTCTGCCCCAGTTCACGTTCAGTCTCCACAACATGGTTTCAAAGCAGAGGCCCAAAGAGTCTGTGAAGCCTGTGGGAAGCAAAACTCATAGCAAATGCAGGTAAAGGTCTTTTTGCTGTGTCCGGAGTTTGGCCTTGTACGGTTTGTCATACAGTTGGAGTCATACAGCAGGTGGCCTTTTCAAGGTTTTACTTTCATTTTTAAAGGCTGTTCTCACAGGATTAAAAATGTTAGGTTGGCAGATACTTTCTTTCAACATATATCCCTGTCTTTTGCTCTTAAAATTGCCCATCCTATTGTTATTCTTTTGGAGACAGTTATCTTTTTCTCTGGATGCTTTTAACATTTTCTTGTTGTCTTTGATTTTCAGTTGTTTTCTATGATGTCCCTAGGTGTGGGTTTTGTTTGTTTGTTTGTTTTTAATCTACTTGGCATTTTTGGGTCTTTTTGTATCTGTAAAGTGATGTCTTCAGTCAGTTCTGGGAGGTTTTCATTCATTTTCTCTTTGATTGTTACCTCTGCCATATTCTCTGTTTTCTTGCTGGAATTCCAGTTAAACATATTTTAGATTTTCTCACTGTAACCTCCCTGTCTCTTTCCCTTTCTTGTTATTTCCAAGTTGCTCCAAATTTAATTCTAGGTATTTTTACTCTTTATTTCTTCAGTTGTATCTAACCATCTGTTGTTACATCCATCCACTGAGTTTTTATTTTCAATTGTTTTATTTTTATAGTTCAAGCATTTTATTTTGTTCCTTTTCAGATAAGTTTTGAGGAAGGCTGTGGAGATCCTCAGGGCCTGGAGGATCTCCACTCCTGATGGGGGAACCTATTTCCAGTGTCCTGGTTTGACTTTCCCCCATCCCCAGGGAGGGGGTTTGTTCAGAACAAGGTTAACTACCCACTTTCCAGAACAGCGCCAGGCCTAGGAGGGAAAATCTGCCAAAGATATGCTGGGAGCATGGAGGAATCAGTCCCTGCTACCTGATGTTGACCAAAGCTCCCAGGAGAGAAGGTAGCCAGAGATTGACAGCTCCCTCTGAAAGGACTGTCTCCTCTCTGGAAGAATTGTTCCAGTGCTGTCCAGTGACTTTAAAATAGGAATTTTGTGGGGCTGGGAGGGGGTGAATTTTTTTTATTTTCTCTCAGGTTGTTGCAGTAGGAGCATTGGCCTTTGCAAACTTTCTACAGAAAAAAAAAAAAAAAAGCCCCGTCATGTCTGTCATGTTCTCTTGGTGTTTCCTTTTTATCCCCCATCCTGAGTTTTGCTGGAATGAACAACACTACTTTGTTTCTGCTTTCTTGTGATTTGAAAGTTTTGTGGTCTATTTCTGGTTTCATGGTTTCTTTACAAATTTTAATGAATATTTTTACTTAAACATCAATAATTATAACTCCTCATCCCCTAGCAAGACAAAGCCTTTATATTGCTTTATTTCCTCATCTCCCCTCTCTGGCTCCTCAGCCTTTATAGACCGGTCATATTTCTTTAGTTGATATTCTGCCTTTGAGTCTGTCTCTTCTGATGGACTCTCCGCCTCACAGCCAGAGGAATCTCTTCAAAGTGATCAACCTCCTGAACTGAAAACCCTTCAATAGATTCCCATAACCATTCCATTAACATCCAGCCCAACTAGCACATAAGGTGCTCTCTGGGCCGTGCTACCTTTTCTGGCTTTGTCTAAAAAATCATCTCTCTCTAAAGAAAAATGACAAAGCACAGAAATATTTGGATCAAGTCAGCACTTGGGGGATTATCACCTGGTAAATGACAAAGCACAGAAATATTTGGATCAAGTCAGCACTTGGGGGATTATCACCTGGTTGTTCCCCTGCTGTCCTTCCTGCCTCTTCTTTCTGCAGCAAGCTCCCTGAGGGCAGGGGTTGCTGATGTATCTTGGTGTTCCCAGCACTTAGCTGGAAGATAGCAGATGAAGAATCAGTACTTGTGGGATGAATGAATGAATGGAGGAGTGGAGGCAAAGGTGATTTCCCTAGAGAGGCCTTGGCTTCCTGGGCAGGGATGGAGACAGCCCTGGGAGACCTTCTGAGAGGATGCGCCTGCGGGCGCCTCAAGTTGCTATTCAATAAAGTAATAAAAAGACTTAAGAGTGAGGTAGCTTTGTTAGTCAGAGACAATTTGATCACAAAAAGGTGAGTCCTTCTCAACTTGAAAAAAAAGGAAAGGAGGCCTGGGTATGTTAGAAAGCACCCATCTCTCATGGAAGCCACAGTCAGTGTCTCCATCTGTTCAGGCTGCGATAAGAGGAGCTAAGACTGGGTGGCTTATAAATGACAGAAATATATTTCTCTCAGTGGTAGAGGCAGGGAAGTTCAAGATCAAGGTGCTGGCAGATTCAGAGTCTGGTGAGGACTGGCTTCCTGATTCAGACACTGGATCTTCTCACTGGTGGAAAGGGAGAGGGAACTCTCTTAGGCCTGTTTCACAAGGTCATTAATCCCATTCAGGAGGGCTCTGCCCTCATGACCTAATCACCTCCCAAGGACGCCACATCCTAATACCATCACTTTGGGGGTGGGGTTTCAACATATGAACTGTGAGGGGACACAAACAGGCCACGGCAGTCAGAAAGATAGCCAGGCTGCTTAAGGTACCACAAAGTCACTCCTTGCCTCTCTGGGACTTGATGGATGATGGATGTGTGGCATCTATCACAGCTTCTCTTTGTGAACCTGCTTTGTTTCTCTTTCTCTGCTTTCTTGTGCATGTGGTGGAAAATGGATGCCCTGGTTCTGCCTTTCTGGTTTGAGCCCTCTGAGGCTGCCTGGAGCTCCTCTGTCCCAGTTACAACTCTAGGGCTCTGGGTCTCAAGCCTCAGCTACAGCCGCAGGTCACATGATTCACTGCCTAAGGATGGAGCCGGCAGGGGTGTGGGTGGGGGGCAGACTGATCGACAACCACCAGGTGATGTTTTCTTAGTCTCTCATTTTCATAAAGTGAGTGCTGAGTTCACTAACTTAATTTTCAGACAATTATTGAATGGTACAATTCTATTTATACTGAATTGAGATCATTTTCTTCTACTATTCTTTACAGTCCTGAAAAGCTTGTCTGTGCAGAAGGGAAATTTCCACCTTATAAAGTGAAAATGACTAGTGACGTAAATCCAACTGTTTTTGAAAGGCGGTTTTATTCCTCGAAGATCAGCCGGGAGAGTAAAAGGCATGAGAAGGGCCTGGTGAGCAGAGACTGCGGGGGTGGTGCAGGCGGTGGGGATGGTACAGTTGTGTAACACCCGCCAGAGATCACTGACAGACCCCTCCCTCTCAGAGAGACTCCAAGGGCAGAGCAGGTGGTGGCCAAAGAAGGGGGTGAAAAAGAGGCGGCAGAGGAGGGCCTATTTCACTCAGAGGAAGTGGTGGGGTCTCCTCGAGCTCAGTTCTGTTGCAGATATGGGCCTCCTTCCACAGGACAGCCTTGGGCGAAGACACTCAGAAAAGGGGCAGGTTGTGGGGCCCTGGACCCCACTGTCTGGGGACAGACTGTGCCCTTCATAAGGTGAGAGACCACCTGCTCAGAGGGGATCCGCCCTCTAAGGTTTCCTCAGCTCTCTTTTTCTGAGTTTTTGCTCTCCTTCCATTTTCCTACCATTTACTACTTATTACATCCAAACTAGACCAGATTTTTGTTCTCCATAGTTTAGTCACAATAGGTAGGAATCTTTTGAAATGAAATTTATACTTAAAAAATTAGGGCAAAGTGATAGATAAGATATATAAAAGGCATAGACAGGAAGGGGAGTTCTGTGTGCAGATTTCCTGCCCAGAGCTCACAGCCCCAGGGCACAGCTGAGAGCTCAGCCTATCCCCCAAAGGTGCCTGGAAGATGTCAGCAGGGATGGGCCGGGAAATTCCTTCCTGTCCTTCCCCACCCCTCACCCAACTCTTCTCTTCTCCCACAGGCTTTAGGAACTGGACAGCGCAGACCCCGCTCCTGGGCGGCAGGAGAAGGCCAGCAGAGGTGCAGTCAGCCTGTGGACAGAAGAGTGATGACCGCAGAGGTCCTGGGGCAGCACCTGGCTGCCCTGCAGCTGGGAGACAGGTGAGGCGGCCGGGAACCGTGCCCCACAAGAGGCCATTTGTAATAAATGGTTTGCAGGATCTGCAGTTAAAATGCTGCCAACATTTCTTCTCTCCAGAAGTGGAATACTGCAAGGAATATCCAACTAATAACAGTTACAGTTTATCGAGCTCTGGTTGTAAATCAGGAACTGTGTACTTGGTATGCATTTAAAAGTTTTCCCAGCAAGGTAATACCCATCACGTGAAGTTCAGAGGTCCAGTAACTCACTCACGGTCAGCTGCACAGTTTGAAGGTGGCAGTGTTCTCTGGCCCAGGTCTAGTCCCTCAGGTGCCAAAGCACACACTTATTCCCCAGGGTACACGCTCTCCTCGCAGCCACTTGGACTGTGTGATGTCAATCAGGCTGCTCAGAACCTGGTTCCCCTTTCAGAGGGCGCAGCTATCCCACTCGTCTGCAGGGTACCATGATCCCAAAGGCCACAGGAAGGGCTTGCTGGGCACTCCTCCAGTGTGTGCCCAGTCCTTCCCCGGAAGTATAGGTAATCTCAGGGTGCCCCTCCCTTCCTTGCCTTTCAGAAAATCAGGCTCCTTTTTATCAGGCGAGAACGTGATTTCTTAAGGAGCAGAGCTGTGTTTCTTGGTCAACAGGGGCGGCTGGAGTTGCTGGAAGTACTGACATAAACTATTCTTCTGTGATGTCATAGTCGTCTGACTCACCTCCTGCAGACTTCTGTGTCCTAAATCTGACAAGAACATGGCACCAGCCACAGTTCATCACAGTGATAAAATCCCATAGTCCCAGCTATAGAATTATCCTATAGCTGTGGTCACAGCTTTTACACCTGCCTGACCCATCAGTGGCAGCCTTAAGATTTAAAGTCGGCTGGATATCAACCCACACTTGCCTTCTGATCCAACATGGCTCAACTCCCAGAACCTGTAAAGATCAGCAGTTTGCTTTGCTCAGTGTGGCTGAGCCTGACCCGCCCAGCTTTCCCTAAAGTAAGCAACATAACCAGTTGTCTCGGTTCAGGTACTGAGTGTCTCTTCCTCTGATACTGGGGCATATTTCTTTTAGCCAATCAGTGCCCAGGATCACTACTGGAATGATGGATTTTTTTCCACTTGAATATTCTGAATTATGTCGTCCAGTTTTTCTTTGTCCGGGATTATGTTTAGGCAGAAAACAGGGGCTATGATGGAGGCACATCTGAATCCTTTCTTTCTTTCAGCTGCCAGAGAAGACATGCTCTCTGAGAAATCAGGCAGGGCTCCTGCAGCCCTGCATGACTCCTTCCAAAAGGCAGCTCTTTTCCCGGCTGTAGTCAGTAACCCAGGAATTTAATGTATAAGGGCTTCTTTGTTATCACTGTTCAGGACAGATTTTACACTTCAGAATCCAGAAGCCAAGTAAATGACTGTGGATGTGGCTCCAATAGGATGGGGAGCAGCGGGAGCGGGAGAGAGGGGTGCTTTGGAGCTGGACGGGCCGAGGGGCCTGCTGATGATCCTTAATACTTGTGCATTCCCTTCACAGCTGAGATCCCCCTGAGGTTTCTACTCAGCAAGGCAAGCAGAGGAGATTAAAAGGGGACAGTGTAGCTCCTAGAGACTCAGCTGTCAAAGAAACCAAACCCTAGAAACAGTAGGTATGTTGACCAGAGTCACAGAGAAAGTCAGTGGCAGCCAAGGCGAGGCTCTGGGGCTCCTGCCTGCTCCCTCCGCACATTCTGTCCTGGGTGTTTCTTACTGTTGCAGAAAGGAAATTTGGTTTCCTTACAAGCAGTCCCTGAAATCACCTTTTAAAAAGGCCTTTCACATAGACAGTAAATCAGTCAGGCTTTGAAGCTACATTCATAAACTTATATTTTTATTCTCTTTCTGTACATATTGGCAATGATAAAGCTTAAAGATGCATGTCCTATGACATAATGCAAAACAAGGGATTTACATAAATAATTTATACTTCAGAAAGTTAAAGTTGAAAAATATTTTCCGCATCATTAAGAGTTCACAGTATTTAAAGTAGATCAAGCTTTCTCCCTTAGATTTCAAACTCTATTGTCTCAGCAGAGAGTGATAACATCTAGTCAGGAATAAAATGCTCAAGTTTCTGTTCCAGTGCACGAGTGGACACTGTTTCCATAGCAGGCTGTTCCCAGGCTGAGGCTGCAGCGTTTCTTCCCAGTCCTTCTCCTCCTGAGTGGCTATGACCCAGCGGGGGCCACACGGTGTGGAATGGTTACAGCGTCACCCAAACCACCCACAGTGGACACATTCAACCAAGTGGTAACGTCTGGTGGTCTGATGCCTCATTTCCACATAATACTTTGTATAGCCCTGAAAATGGAAACCTTGGCATCCAAACACAGCCGAACATGTTAACACTAATACAAGGCACTGTGCTATGGGGTTTGGTTTATTTCTAGGAAAGACCGTGTTTGCATAGATTGCGAGCAATTTAGTGTGCAGTAAAACAGAGGCCCCAGTGCGCACGGCCTTGTGACGGATGAAGCTGCGTAACACTCCTCCGGCCCAGGGGCAGCACCGCTTGTCTTCTCTGGCCCCAGCCCAGTGGGCAGATCCCTGAGGCCCCTACAGGAGAGTTTTCTGCTCAAAAAGCTGCAGGTCAAAGCGGACCCAGACCTCCCCGGTGGGGACCTCGTGCAGCAGGAGTCGGCGGGTTGTAGGGCCTTTGCTTTCCTGTTCTGTTCGAATTTTTGCCACTGGAACTTCAGTGCGACCCAGGAAATCTAGTGAACAGACATGAGTGTCAAAAGTCTTCTTTAAAAAACTGTTAAAAAAAACTATCCCGGGAGGAGTGTAAGAAGCAGGATTCATAAAATATTTGCATACAAAACAAGTAACTCCTTTTGGTTAATGGCTGTTGGAGACTGAGTGGATGGATATGTGCAGAACAAGGGGTCTGTGTGAAGGAAGCTGCCTCTGGGGACCCCAAGCCTCATTGGTCAGGGAGTGTCTCACCTGTTCAGCAGGTGCCAGGAGCACAGCGTTTCCATTAGGTAAGCAGGGGTGACAGGGTGGGAGACTTGACACACACCTGAGGCCACGCACCCCTTGCCCCTGAGAAGGGGCCCCACCTGTGGCCACTGAAAGCTCTGAGGGCCATGGGCTGTATCACTACCCTTAGGCATTCCAGACCCCGGATCCTCGTGTGTGGGGACTTTCATACCCCTCCCTGAGTTATACTTTACCGTCTGGTGAAAACTGATCTCTGTCGAACATAGTGAGACACAGCACATCCTGATAGAGGTCCTTAATGAAGAACTGGCAGTTAAAATTCCATTTGGGATTCAGTGTGTCCTGGAGGGTTCTAGTGGTATAGCTCTGGGAGCCCATGCTGATTTCACAGTACGGATTGCTCTTTCCTGAATGAAAACAAACAAAACATGTGGCATGTGATGGAAGGGCCTTCCTCGAGCAGAAGCGGATGTGGTGTTTCTCTATAGACCATGGCCTGTGGTCTCCATTCCCAATGCTGAGAGCATCATAAACTTGGGGAGGAACCAACCGTGTGGGCTTGAGCAGGGCCACTCCCCACGAGCAGGTGTCAGTTCCCCCTGCTTCCTGCTTTCTCCACTCAGAAGCACCAAGGGAGGAGGCATCAATACCCTCTGGGAAAATAGAGGAAGAATAATTTTGGCCCAATAACCATTTTAGTGGCACTGGAAATACTGACTTTTAAAAAGTGTCCCATTATTCAGTGTACAGAAGAGTCATCAGCAAAGAGCGGGTCTGTTACCACATCTGTTGAATGAAAGAAGCATTTACCGTTTGGTTTACAAGCTTTCAGTTCTGTAGCTTCAATGACGTGCACCATCAGACGCCCGATGCCTGAAGACTTCTGAGAGCGAGCTACAAAAGAGGAAGATGAGTGACGTTAATTTCTTCTCTGAGAACACAGACAGTGTAGCTATGGCGCTAAGCTGTAGATACAGTCTGCCTTTCTAACCAGCCCCAGGACTCCCCAGCCATGCCTGCCACCTGAGTCGGAACCGGCAGACTAGCATGGGGCTGCTCTGGGCCTCCGCCCAGGCTGTGTCACCTGCTAGGACACCTGGAGGCCATCTCTGCCCGTGGGCAGCCTATGCACTCTTAAACACACAGGTCCAGGCTCACCGTGTATCATATAGGCTGCCTGGTTTGCAATTCTGGGTCAGTCCATCCCCTCTTCCAGAGGCCATGGTGGAGTGCAGGTTTTTTAAATTCATCCTTATGTTAACCCCTCAACTGCCTGGCAAGTAGTGATATTCATAAGATCATATTATATTTATTCAGCACTTAGAAGCAGCTACCATTTATTGGATACTTACTTTGTGTTAGGCATTTAAATAAGTTATATTATTTAAACTGCAATGTTTACTCTACAAGGTAGCTCTTTATAACTGCCATTGTCATATATGAGGAAACGGAGTCTTAGAAATGACTGTAACATGTTTATGTCACAGAGTCTCTAAATGACGTTTTAAAACTTAAAACGTCAGACACCAAAGTCTACTTTCTTAACCACTCATCATAATTCCAATTACATGTAAACACTTTAGCTTATAACTTTTACTTAAGACCTTATTCTATTTAAAGAGGTACTCAAAAACTTTTAATATGGGGAGAAATGAGTTAGTGAACTCAGATTTTCTTGGTAAATGTAAAGATAGTTAAGCTGGGTTTGCTCCTAGGGGTTTAAAAACTAAAGGAAAGCTGCTTGGTGAGCTCCTGACTTTTCAAAATTCAGGGCAAGTAGAACTTTCTCTGTGAGAAGCGACTCATCCCCTGTGTGTGCCCTCCCACCTAGGAGGCCCTTGCATTCAGTCTCCTTGAAGGCGGGGCTGGGCCGTATTCATTTGCAGACTCAGTTAAGCCTAGCACAGGGCCTGGCACAGAGTAAGTAATCAATAAATGTCTAAGAATTGAACACGTGGAGAGTGCATAAACATACGTACAGATATTGCTGTGAAGCAAAACTAGTAAAGAAAAACTTGATTTATTTTTCACCAATTAAGAGATCATTGTATGCTTTCTGAAAAGCTTCAATCATTGATTTTTCAATAGCAAGACTTTAAAATACCATTAAAATAGGATTCAGTTAGCAGAAGCCAATTTACACATACCTTTCAGGAGTATGTAACAAAATAAGGGAAACCTGAATAAAAAAACATAAAGAGCTGCAACTCCAGCAGCCAGGAACACAAGTGGGAGGATTGGTCAGGGAAGGGCCTCGTGCCACAGCCTGGTGGCTCTGCCACCATGAGAGGACAGGACCAGACAGAGGGCCATAGAGCGAACATGTGGGACTTGGCAGCTGACTGGAGAGGCCTGGGGGAGCGGGCTGTCAGGGGGCACGTTTCCAGTGCATGGCCAAGGACACGAGCTGTCCCCTGAGTGTCTCTGGAGAAGCTACTTATGGGGGGGTGGTGGTGAATTAATCCCACGGGAGGGGTGCAGCAGGCGTGTCCTGAGAGCATGGGCTGGAGAGAGCAGGCCAGCTGCAGCCACTGAAACCACCACAGAAGCATGGTGACATGAGCTGGGGAGGCTCAGAGCCAGGGCAGGACTCACGGGGTACAGGGGAAGAAGCAGGGCTAGGAGGGAGAGGAAGAAAGAAGACAGTGCTGGGAGGAGCCTCTGGGGTGTCATGGGGGCCTGGGGAGGGAGGGACCAATTTCCTGCTGTCGTGGGTGGGGGGTGGTCGCTGGTCACATGAGCAGGCTGCCTGCACAGGGTGAGGGGACAGCAAGTGAGGGAGAGGGGGAGACCTAAGGTCCCCAACCGGGTGTAGGGAGAGGGAGGATGGTTGGGTCCCCAGGAGGGGCCGGAGTACAGGCTGGGCCAGAGAGGAGGAGCAGGGTGCGGAGGAGCTGATGGGAATCTTCACAGAGGTGAAGTCTGATGGAGCAAAAGGGACCAAGAGGAGGTGGGGCTGGTTATGTGAAGGTCAGACCCTTCTGCCTGGAAACAGAAGTGAAGAATAAGTATGCAGGGAGGAGGGGCAGAGACTCTGCCACAGGGGCATCCCGGGGCTTGTGCTGGACAACCCCCATCTGTGTAGCAGGCAGTGGCGGGGCTCAGGAGGCCCCCAGGAGTTTTGAAAGGGCTGTGGAGGACGTAGTGGGCAGCAAGTCTGGTCTTTCAGGCTGTCCCTGTTTAGCCCCTCTCTGCAGCCTGGGCTCTGAAGTTGGGACCCCACCCAGTCCCCAGGGCACCCTGGTGTGGCCAACTGCAGCCCTCCAGGGCGCCACCGACTACCTTGATAGGCCTTCTCCCGCTTCTTCTTCTCCGTGTCGATGTACTGCTCAGACGCCGCCTTGATCTTCTGGACCCAGGCCGTCCTGGAGGAGAAGCAGAGCGCAGCCCTCACACACCTCAGGGTCACTGGAAGCCCGAGCTCCGCACTCGTCTTTGAGAGCTTCCTAACCATAGACCTAGCGTGAATTCAACTGAAGGGCTCGTTTGCTCATTGAGGATCAAGCCAAGAATTTCTAGACAGTTCTTGGTGGCACCAGGCACTTGTCAGGTGCTGGGCGCAGGGAGATGGAAGATGCAGTGACAGCTGAGCATGGCAAATGACGGGCTCTGGTCCCGCAGAGGAGGAGCTGCACCAGAGGGGAGGGCACGCGGCTGGCCGGGCAGCGAGGGAGGAAGGCTCCCAGCAGAGGGCAATGGGGGAGGGCGGAGCCCCGGCCATAGTGCAGGGGCCTGTGCGGTGCCGGGAAGGGAAAGGAGGGCCTCAGCGGGCGAGGGAGCACAGGCTGCCCCTGAGGGTCGCGGCAGGAAGTGAGGTGTTGGTCTCCCCCTTCAGAGAACCCAGGACACACCGGAAGCAGAGAAGCGTTAGAGGGGTTTGTGTTCACCAGGCTGTCTAAACCCAGGCCTGCCAGTGGGATTGGTGGAGGCGGGGATTAGTAGGGTGGGAGTACAGACTGGAGGTGGGTTATGGCGGAGGGAGAGGTCAGGCTTTCTCCTGGGCCTCAAGGCAGGTCACACATGTGGTCGAGACTGACCTCTCGTTAATGTTGTCTGTTCGAAGGGTGTAGACCCGGTCAATGTGAGAGATGTGGAAGACAGGCTCATCGCTGGAAGGGTCTGTGGGCAGTTTCACCAAGGCTTCATTCAGGAAAATGGGCTGAAAGAATAAGGGCCAAAACACAGGCTGTGAAATGGGTCGGAACCCCCCACCCACCTATATCCAGAGCCTTGTCTGTCCCGAAGAGTCTTGCTGAGCAGTGGAGAGGGCTCTAGCTTCTAGAGTATTTTACCCAGGAGAAAAGAAACTGCCTCCTGTTTCAGGAAAGTAAATATCTGGGGTTACCAGCTGTTACTAAAGTGGGGACAGAAGCACAGAGTGTCTGTGACTGCTCACGTGACAGGGTCTCTCCACAGGCCCTGACACTCGGCCCTTTGAGTCAGCCTCAGTTTCACAGAGAGACCCGATGCTGAATGTGGACGGAGGCGGGACTGCCCGTTGTTTGCTGGGGAAGAAGCTGGAATCCACAGCTGGGATCTACAGAGGCTGTCAGAGGGTAGTGAAGGCCCAGCCACTCTTGGCTTCCTCCCTGGGAATGACATGGAGGCGTGAGCTATCTGGAGGCGGGTGAAGAGTTCCCTGAGGATGGGAAGGGCCCAGGCCAGGAAGGAAGTAGGCCCTGAAGGGAGAGGAAACACCTCATTATGTGCCTGATGCTATTGCCAGGACATTTACCGTCTTATACATCTTGAACTGAGCGTTAGACTTCGAGCTGAAAAGCTTCTCGGAGGCTGAGGAGACCGCGAACTGCTTGACCATGTAGGTGAGAAGCAGGAAGTCGTTGAAGAGGAACCCGTGCAGCTCCTTGTTGCTCTTGGTCTTGTACAGCTTTCCACTGTGCAGCAGCTTCCGGGGCCCCAGGCAGTTGGTGAGGGAGTTGAAAACAAGTTGCTTAAAGAGAGAAGAAGGTGTCACTTTGCAAGTCCCAGCATCCCTGGCAAGGTCCTGGGCCTGAGGGAGGGGTGGCAGACCTCTCCAGTGGGAATGTGGCTGTAATCATTTACCTTCACACAGAAGCTCCTTACATTTATTTCTCTTCAGAGTTCAGACTGGCACAGTGAAAAGGATTACTTAGAAACCCACAGAACACTGATTGTACCAGCTGAATTCAAAGAACACAAAACATAAATCTCTCTATGAGAAAGGACAATGACAACCCAAGAAGTGGGCAGGATGCTGAGTCTGTATGGGCTGAGCTGAGGCGTAGACTGTCTACACTAGGAGAAGGCATGAACCTGGTTCCCCACCCAGAGCTTGCCGGGCGGCACCCAGCTCGGGCCCATAGCCCTCACCTCCGCAAGCCCATCGCATTGCACGTGTGTCTGGATCCACTCCAGTCGGTCTGAATTTTCCTTCTCCCGAACTCCTTCATTCACTTGAGAGCAGAGCTCCTCTGCCCGCTCGAGGGCCAGCTTCAGAGAGGAGTGGTCTACATGATTCTCTGGGGTGTTCTCCAGAATCTGGAAGAGAGGGGCTGTGTCATGTGGGATGTCTTATGTCTTCCACCTGCCCCACCAGCCCAGGTGCTGGATGCTGGGAATACAACAGTGAGCAAGACAGTTGTTCACCCTTGAGAGGCTCAGGGGCCCATGAGTTCTTGGGGAGACAGGTGATTCAGGGACAAGAGGGTGGGCCAAGTACTACATGGACCAAGTGCCCTGCACTCTGGGTCTCTGCTGGCTCTCTGCCTGGGTCTGGGGGAGGTGTAAGGGTGCCTCGCTACTTCCTCCCAGTAATCCAGGTGAACCCTCCAGTATAAACTGGCTGCACCTTTGATAAGTGTGTTAATTTGCTGCAACCATTCATTATATTTTTGGGGTCACTGATCTTTCTGAAAAATCTGCTGAAAGCAGTGAATCCCCTACCACAGGATAAAACAATAAAACAATGATGTCAGCATGTAGGAAAATGCACTCATCTCATTCTGAAGTGACTCTACATTCCTGAAGGTAAAAGGATAGAGAATACATCTTTGTGTGGTTGCTTGGAAATGGGCTGGCCCACCAGTAGACCACTGTTGTCTGGCTTCCTGGGTTCATGGTCCCTCATTCATAATCACAAAATGTGAAAAACTCTGAAAGCCTAATGCTTTTTTCATTACTCATTTGATGGCAAAGCCTGACTTAAACTGAAGAGATGTACGAATTAAGTCTATGTCTAATGATTATTCATTAACTTCCCTTCAGACTCTTAACATGTTAGTTATCAGTGCTGCCCAGGCTTTGCTGGGGTATCATGTAATACACAGCATTTGAATTATATTCTGTATTCTGAAAAACATCTGGCCCCAAATATTTCAGGTAAGGGATTAACTGTGGATTAATGTGTATTAATGGGTCCGTCTGGTATCAGAACTGTGACATTAGTTCTGTATTAGTTTTGATGTGGCTAATTAGTTCTGACAGGGTCTAACATGGCTTACAGACTGGTGGTCAAGACATAATAAAAGCAACAGTCTTATATTATTTCTACTGTGTTTCTTTGTAAGATGACTGAAATTACCTCAATGATTACATACGGAATAATCCTTTGAAGGTCTGCCTTCTCCTTAGATGGTTTATTGGCTCAAGAGGCCCACATGGTGTCAAAAAGGTGAATGGAATTTTAGAGGGACTGTGTGGTCAGCAAGCTGAGGTGGAGACCTCAGTGAGGGGACGTGTCTAGGACACTGAGTTGGAGACTCCTGGGATGTCCAGGTTAGGCATTTAGTTGGCAGATGACTTCAGATCTCAGGGGGAAGACTGGACCCCAAGGCTGCGGGACTAACAAGGGATTCTGTCTGGGCTCAAGATGGGCTCCACAGCTGGAGACCTAGAGGGTGTTGCTCTGTCTAGACAATATACACTCATGACCCTGAGAGGCCAGAAGCTTCCTGGGAAGGGGGAGGACAGGTAACCCAAATGACCCTGGATATGTCTTTTATTTGCCTATGTCCAGGATTTATCCCTTCAGACTACATGTGTGTGTGTCTGTGGGCACACAGACACACACACACACTTGGTGCCTGGTGCATCAGACATGGAGTCAGACCATGTGGCAGGCGGCTGGAGTGCTTGGAGGCTCCCTGACCGTCAGCCTTGAAGGACCCTGCTTCTCCCCACTGGACACTCACGCTTCTGATGAGGAGTGGGTAGCGGGTGATCCTCTGCATGGGCTTCAGCAGGAAGCTGGAAAGGGGCATCCCTTTACACCGAGGGTCAGATGCCAACTTCTGCAAAATAACTGAGAGGCTCATGAGGAAATCAGAGGCTAAGAAAAGTGAGGGAACACTGGAACTACTCCTTACTTTGACATCTTTCAGATTTTGAATTTCTTTTAAAAACTCAGAATCCAAAATGATACCCATCAATTTAACAGTAGGAATATCCCACCTCATGAGCCAGACCCCGCAAATACTTTCAGTTCTTTCTTAAGGTGGATTTGACAGGCTGTGCGAGCCTTCCCTCTGTTACTTCCAGGACCATGCTCTCTCAGCTGTCTTCCCAGTCCAATGACCTCAGTCTTCCTCACTCCTTTCTTCTTTCCCCACAGTCTCCCACAACTGAGTCCCACAGTGTAACCCAGACCATCAATGGAGCTGAATTATTCTCCTTTTCATCTGATGTTCCAAAGGCACCTCAATACCTCAACACACCTCAAGGTGAAGTCCTCATCTTCTGTCATAAAAGCATCACCATCTACCTCTACTTCTATTGGACTTGGTGGCATCGTTCTACACCCACCCACCTCCTCCCCACACACCAAGGAGTCACCACTGACGCCAGTCTGTCTTCTAAGCAGCTCTTGATCTCCCCCACCTCTGGCTGCTCATCGCTGGGCTTCATCAATGACAATACTATTTACTGAGCACCTAGCTGGGTCAGGCTGACCCTGTCCTACTGCTTTTTCTTCACTTGGCTAATTCACACTCATCTCTGAAGGCTCAGATTAGCCTCCTCCACTCCAGGGTCTCCTCTCCCTTCCCGTGATCCTTTTCAAGCCCCTATGGCTTTCTTTATCATCATGCCATATCTGGACTGAGTAACAAAGGTAGAGGTACCATGTTTGAGTGTCTCTATGACCTCCCATTCAGACTGTAAACTCTAGGAGGCCAAGGACCACATTTATTTGATTCTACACCTAGGAGTAGTACAGGATCTAACAGAGTAGCTAGTACTCTAGGATGATCATTTTTAACAACTGAAAAGTAACACATTTACTATAATTTACCTAATTATTCCCCACTTTAAAAAACCGCCCCCTCCTTCTGTTTTTGGATATTCTATGTTTCTAAGATAAACATCTTCATGCTCTTTATTTTGATATCTTCTGAGTGTTTTTTAAAAAGCATCATTTTAGAACACAGCTTGTTAGATCTACTTTTCATGTAATCAACACCATCCCTTTCATTTAGAGACTAAACACTTTTTATTTTTGCTACTGTTACAATCATGGTGATACTGATGTCCTATTTACACTGCTACTTTTATCACTATTTGAAAAAAAATTAAATCTTTTACTATGATTTGGACAGCAAGGAGATCCAACCAGTCCATCCTAAAGGAAATCAGTCCTGAATATTCACTGGAAGGACTGATGCTGAAGCTGAAACTCCAGTACTTTGGCCACCTGATTCGAAGAAATGACTCATTTGAAAAGACCCTGATGCTAGGAAAGACTGAAGGCGGGAAGAGAAGGGGATGACAGAGGATGAGATGGTTGGATGGCATCACCAACTCAATGGACATGAGTTTGAGTAAACTTTGGGAGTTTGTGATAGACAGGGAGGCCTGGTGTGCTGCAGTCCATGGGTCACAAACAGTCGGACATGACTGAGTGACTGAACTGAACTGAGAAGGTAAATGTCCTATATTTAATATTACAATTGATAATTTAAAAACATTCACATATACTCATAATTCTATATTTATCTAATTATTCTGATTAATGTTTCTGTGATGTTGGGTTTCTTTCTATGCTTCTTCTAGTTCATTTCCAGGCAACCCCTTGCCTCCCACCAATTGAAGGGTTCTGTCCTCAGTGCTTTATATTGAACCATTTTTGCATTCCTGAGATCATAGTAGGATAAATAAATAACATTAGCATTTACTTAATGCTTATTATGTGCTGGTCTCTGTGCTAAAGTATTTTAAAAGTAATATCTGATTATCTCCAGGTTACAGATGAAGGGACTGAAGGTGCCAAGTGTTAGGAAACTAGCCCCAGTTCCATAGTGAACTGTGTTGGGGCTGGGATTTCAGCCCACACAGTTGAAAGTCTGTCTTATTACAAGCATGATATTGTGTTGCCTCCTGGAATGATCCAATTTGGTTATGTAAGCTATTTTATATTCTTCCTTTGAATAAGACAGGTATAAAAATAAAAACAATTTACAAAATTAAGAAAGTGACATTCTGGATGCTTTTTGGAGTAGAAAGTAGCTGATTTACATTAAGTAGGCTTAAAAAAACACTGCTATTCAAGATGGGCAAAATAATGGTCCCAGAGCCAAGAAAAAATTCAATTCAACAGGAAAGGCAACTCAAAGCAATCAGAAAATTCTCTGCCATATTTGTGTTTCCCCCCATGGACAGAGGAGCCTGGTGGGCCAGTCCATGAGGCTGCAAAGAGGCAGACACGACTAAAGCGACTGAGCACACACAGAAAGTGATGGTCATACCCGTCTCTACTCTTGAGGCCTTCCAGAGGCCTCCACATGCCTCTGCCTCCTGGCTCAGAACAGGGCTGGCCTGCCTACATTTGCAGGATGGAGTTACCTTTAAAAATTCTTTGAAGTCCGCGTGTTCGTCTGTCTTCTGCTGTAACAGGGCTGCTCCATTAAGCTGACAGCTGCAGAAGCGGATGTAGGCCTGCATGTGGGACAGCTCAGCGGCCAGGATGTCCCCAATCATGTGCACGGGCATCTTCTCACCCCCGGTCTTCTTCCGAACCCGCAGTGCCCTGCAACCAACATACTCTTTCTCACTTCTTATTTAACTGAGTGTCGGTCGCCAATGAACAGTGAATATCTTGGGAGACTAACAATAATAATGGCCAGCGAGTTACCTAAAGATCTCTAGAACCATGGGGGAAAAGTCAGGAGGAGGAGGCAGTTAGGACCTAAAGCTCCGCCTGCCCAGCCAACCTGGGTGAACTGTGAGCAAAGAAGAAAATGAAGACTGCGCTTGGGTGTTCCTCGGTGTTTGTAACTGGTTTGGTTTCAGCTTAGTTTCTTAGCAAAGTTTCTTTTGAAAGTTTTCTAACTTGTTTTAAGCTGAACCAAGAAGAAAGAAATTTCTCTTCTCTGCAGGAGAAATATGGGAGCAAGAGTCCGCAGAGGTGGGGTGTGGAGGTGAAGGTGGCGGTGGATATTGTGCCCAGAGAGCTGCTAAAGCTCAAGGATCGGGGAGAAGCAGCGAGTGTGGGATGACTCAGAGCTCCCCTGGAGCCTGTCCTTGTGGGCGGAAGGGACGGAATTTCACACTGGGCTTAGAGAACTGCCAGTCCATCTGCTCATGTCTGGGTCATAAGCTGCGGCTTCTCTCCTGACTCTAGCTGATACAGAGTCAAGTATGGTTTGGAATCATATGTTAATATATTGTTTAATGACTTCATTTTTTCTTTACTTAATCAAATATTTTGTTATATTTTGCTTCAATAATGATGTACTTTACAGTTAGCATTTCATAAAATAATAATAGAAAGCCTGAGGGAGCGGAAAGTAGTGGAAGTTCTTTAAGCAGCTCAGTTGCAGGGAGTGAGGTGGGAGTCTTGGTCCCAGGGCTGGGGTGGCCACTGCCACCAAAGGCGGTGCTCACGACTCACTTCAGCAGCTTCGTGTTAGCCATGATGAGCTCCTTCCAGTTAACAAAGATCAAGGCCATTTCTCCTTCAGTGAGAAAACCTGGCTCTGTCATTCGTTTCTGAAAAACCTAGATTCAGAACAAGAAAAGGAAGTCAACTCTAGGGCAGTACACAGCCTGTGTGGTCTAAAGGAAATGGTATCTTCGTACACGGAAACCAGGAAGAGCAAGGTACTTTTATATAAACATACACAGACTGTTGAGTTTTAAATTGCAAAATTTCCCTATGTTTTGCTATTTCAGCTCCTATCAGGGCTGATTCTGAGGACTGAATCCAGCAGTCCCATCAAGGAGAGCCTCATACCCACCTCCTAGGGGTCTTACACAGGTTAATTAAACTGTAGGCATAAAGCACCCCACACCAGGAGGGCCTGAAGAACTGAGGGAGCAGGACTGTTGTTAGACTGCACCACAGGAGTCTGGTAGCAGTTAGTGAGAAGTGCAGCAAAAGAAACACCGATGCCTTACCTCAGCCCCAAGACTGACCACCAAGCACATGTGGATTTCAGAGGCTTGCTGACCGAAGGGGATGTGATAACTCTTTACACTGGTAAGCCAGAGAACTTAAGGTTTCACAAAGTTCTGATATGCACACACACATGTATATGTGTGTGTGCATACATGCACATGTGTGTGTAGGTTTCTCAGTTAACTTCACTGATGATGATGTAGGTCATGCTGAGTCAGGTATTATTATTCCCAACCGACCCATGAAGAAATGAAGGCTGAGTGACGTCCTCAAGGTCACAAAGCTAGTTTCCACTAAACAACTAGGGAACGACTTTAAAAGCCTTGAGGAAATGGTGACATCATCTGTGACACCTCTCCTCATGTGTAATTTCTCCAAAATACATGTGACATTACTCTATTGAAACTGTTCTATACTGATGTTTATAGCATTGAGTTGAACCTGGAGTCCAAGAACTCGGATAAAAGTCTATGGACTGATATCTCTAAACCTCTATGGTTTCAGAGTCAGACGGAAGATGTCTGGATGCTCCTATGGGAGAGAGACCTGGAGACAAGGTCACTCTGCTCTGAGGTGCTCTGGAAGGACAGGGAGAGCATCTGATTGTCTGTCCTTTCATCTCCAGATTGACTTGCGTTACTGTTTATGCCTTTTGTTGACTGGCTTAGCGTCAGCCTCAGTCAACAGAGGAGCAGAGGAGGATGTGGTGGCCGGGTCCTCTTGGAGGGGGAATGCTGATGAGAATGCTGTCCACTTGCCTGTGGACAGTGCTTTTCACCCTAAACTCCTGACCCCGACTTGACGCCTCACCCCTGAGAGGTTCTTATGAGGTGGCAGAGTGGTTTTCCAAACTGATACAAACATTAGAGGAACACTCCCACTGCCTCACAACTCCATTGGAAACAACTAAACTTTATGAAAATGTCAGAAATGTCAGGTGTCAGAGTGGCAGTGCAGATGTCATGAGAGAAAAGTCTGAGGCGGCACGTTTGCTTCAAGCCTTCCCACCCACCCTGCACCCTTGTCCTTCCTGACAGGGCCACCTTACAGCCGACTGAGGTACCGAGTGCCTCTTCTCTCCTCATTCTGAATGACCTAATCTGACAGAAAGAGCTGACTTGAGACTGTGAAGGCCCCTCCAACAGGCAGAGGAAGCATTCTGAGGGTGTGAGAGCGCCTGTTGCTGCTGGTAACTTCACTGTCAAAGGCGACACCTCGGTACGAGCCCCCACCCCATAAGGAGCCGGCAGACCCTGGCGCCCTTACCTCCACAACGAGCTGCAGGTCATCCACGTACCGCTCCTCCGTCTCAATCAGCTCGTGGATGTAGCCCTGCCTCTTCCTTTCCACCGGCTGCATGGTGTCCAGTGTTTGGAGATCAGCACACCCTGTGGAAAAGGAGGGTAGAGTTTCAAAGTATTATTTTCTTCTCCTGGAAGGAAAGAGACATCTACTGGCAGGATGCACTGAGTCTACAAATATTGCCTCCAAAGAATCCCATGGCCAGCCAAAGGGCCCTGGGACCCGGGAGAGGCAGAGCAGTGTACACCTGCGGAAACTGGATTCACCATTGGCCCCTCAGCGCTCCAGAGCCGCAAATTAGCAACGCCTGTAACGGCTCAATGTGGCTTGAATGCCTTTCTAAGCAAGTCATGACAGAGTGAAGGATTTTCAGAAACAGCCTCAAAGAGGCCATAAACTGTGCTGAGCTTGTGAAGAACCTATGCTATTCTCGCCATCTCAACACATTTTCAAACTATTGTAATAATTAAAGGAATCAAATGCTTGAGAACAGTGTTTTCCAAATTGCAGGTCATGAGCCATTTGTGAGTCATTCTATCAACTGATTTTTTAAGCAGAAACAAAACAAAATTAATAAATGAATTGAAGCTACCATGTATACAGGGGGCTTCCCAGGTGGTGCCAGTGGTAAAGAACCTGCCTGCCAATACAGGAGACATAAGAGACACGGGTTTGATTCCTGGGTCAGGAAGATCTCCTAAAAGGATGGCATCGAAACCCACTCCAGTGTTCCTGCCTGGAGAATCCCATGGACAGAGAAGCCTGGCAGGCTACAGTCCACAGGGTTGCGAAGAGTTGGACACTA